GAAGCATGACCGTCGCTCTACCGTCCAGCCCAAGTGGTTGGACGGCAGTGTGCCAGCTGTATCTGGCAGTGGGCTGTCGTAAAGCTTGTTTTAAGGCTAGTGGAGATGAATGCTGGTTAGGTACACAATTCCAAGATCATCATGAAACAGATCGACGAGGATGCCGATGATAGCGTTCCGAGTGGTGTCGGGCTCTTTGGCATGTCTATAGTGGCATAAGAGTCCATTGGCGCCAAGTCATCCGCTGGGCTGCAGTCTTCAGAGCAGCAGTGCATCTTGGGCCTTTGCATTCACAGGCACTCAGATAGCCGACTACTCGAAGCAACAGCCTGGTGGACCAAACCCTCACAAGTCAAGCCTGGCCTCGGGCCGGGCTTGGGGAATAGAACAATTCCCAGAACCCCATCAACCAGGTATCAACCCTGTGCGTTGATATGCTATATTTTTTGTAATAATACAGGAAAGGCCAAAGATGATTTTAGTGCACTCCTTTCCCACTGGCAAGCTTAGCTCTGGGCTGTCATCATCAGCCCCTGGACCTGATCAACCAGGCTGTGACTCATACGTCAGGCTGCGAGCAGCCGCGTCTAACAGCCTGGTTGATCAGTCCAGCAACCAGGAGGCCTGGTCGACGACCGGGCCGCGGGGACACTAAGCCCCGGAAGCACCTCAAGGTAAGGGCCCCTGTCTGTATAATGAGAGCGGTAAGGAGGTTATGGGTGTTGATGGGCGAGAGGGAGTAAGGGGGAGGGAGAAGTTTGTTTTTTTCGAAAGGGGCGACGCTGTTGCCTTCCCTCTCTCCCTCCAAAACCCTCTTTTCCTTCTCCAACGTTCCTCCCTTCTTGCCCTACCCTCCCTTTTAAGGTTCTGCAACTATCCTATTGGATTAGCACATAATGAGTCTCTACAGACATGGAGAGGCCGATAAGTGGAACCATTTACCGTGTAACGTGGTGGAGGTGGGGTCCCTCGATTGTTTCAAACGTGGGTTGGACATGTATATGAGTGGGATTGGGTGGTTATAAATAGAGCTGCCTCGTATGGGCCAATAGGCCTTCTGCAGTTACCGTTGTTCTTGTGTAGATTGTGACGCCTGCTCTATTCTTGAAGCCACAGTATTTACACACTGGTTAAATCGTTAGAAATGGCGGGGAAGCCTCAAACACCAGCATAGAGGATAGATATTAGAAGCTTGATACCTGCTTGATGGTGTTCTGGGAGTTGTTCTACTCTCCAAGCCCGGCCCGAAGTCAGGTTTGACGTGTGAGAGCTTAGTCCACCAGGCTGTTGGTTGCAGCGGCCCGTAGGCCCACATATCCACCAGATAAGCTGAATCATATTAATGTCCCTCCGTTAAAAATGTTCAGCCTAAGAACGCGCGGCCGCAAGTGTCTCAACAAAGACGCGTGCGTGCACATTGTTGGGACGGCTTGGGTAGTGCGTGCACATTATTGGGAGGGCTTGGGTAGTGCGTGCACATTGTTGGGAGGGCTTGGGTAGTGCGTGCACATTGTTGGGAGGGCTTGGGTAGTGCGTGCACATTGTTGGGAGGGCTTGGGTAGTGCGTGCACATTGTTGGGAGGGCTTGGGTAGTGCGTGCACATTGTTGGGAGGGCTTGGGTAGTGCGTGCACATTGTTGGGAGGGCTTGGGTAGTGCGTGCACATTGTTGGGAGGGCTTGGGTAGTGCGTGCACATTGTTGGGAGGGCTTGGGTTCCCCCTAACCTGATAGGCGTCAGTCGTGAAGCGTACCAACCCAAGCAACCCACCTAACCTAACCAGGCCCCCCTCTGTGCATTAGTAATAAGAAGCATCATTATTGCTTACTGTCGAGGAGGTACTGTGGTGTACTGGAGCGAGGGGGGGAAGGAAAGACGGAGGTACTGTGGTGAGGAGGGGGGGGGGAAGATGGAGGTACTGTGGTGTACTGTGGCGAGGGGGAAGACGCAGGTACTGTGCTCCGAGCAGTAACGTGCACGGCAGAAAAAGTAGTAGAGCAACAATTTCACCCTGAGGGAGCCCTGGCTGCTGTGGTGTCGTCTGCTGGGCCTCCGTCCACGTCACCTGCGTGCGTGTGTGTGTGTGTGTGTGTGTGTGTGTGTGTGTGTGTGTGTGTGTGTGTGTGTGTGTGTGTGTGTGTGTGCGTGCGTGCGTGCGTGCGTGCGTGCGTGTGCGCGCGCCGTCCTTCGCCCCTCCCACCCGTTCTCTCGGGAGATGGAATGGGCGGAGTGGTGTAGGAAAGCTGGGAAAGACTTGGAATATTCCTAGGTTGCCTCCTGGGGCTAGGCGCCGTGAGATGGTGGCTGGGTTGATGTTGTTATAGATTCAGCTACTCGGAACAAGTTCCAAGTAGCACGGGCTATGGTGAGCCCGTCCGGCTGGGTTGAGCCGGAAGCTGCAAGATATAATGCGTGTTAGGTGGACGGTGAGGGATGGTCTGTGTGTGGTACTGGAGGCCCGGGCTGGTGGTGGTGGTGTACTGGGGGAGGCCCGGGGCGGGGGCTGGAGTACTGGGGGAGGTTCGGGGGTGGGGGTGGGGGGCCGGTGTACTGGGGGAACGACCAGGAAAGTGTGGCCAGAATGTCAACAGTGCAGCAAGAAAATCTCTCACGCTACCCCTTTCCACCTTTCCCTCTTTTTTTTCCCTCGTGCCGTCTCCAGCATTACGACGTCCAGATCTCTCTCTCTCCGCATTCAAATTCGTCAATTTCCACATTGTCCAGCTGGTACATAATTATCATTACCTTCTATCTTGAGATGATTTCGGGGCTTTAGTGTCCCCGCGGCCCGGTCCTCGACCAGGCCTCCACCCCCAGGAAGCAGCCCGTGACAGCTGACTAACACCCAGGTACCTATTTTACTGCTAGGTAACAGGGGCATAGGGTGAAAGGAACTCTGCCCATTGTTTCTCGCCGGCGCCTGGGATCGAACCCGGGACCACAGGATCACAAGTCCAGCGTGCTGTCCGCTCGGCCGACCGGCTCCCTCCCTCCCTATTTGTCTAATGAACTTATTTCCCGCCCTTTTATTTGTATTGTCGTTAAATTTACAATGTTGCTTTGATATCCGCCACAAATCGTTTACATTTACTCAAAGTTGAGAGGGGGCCCAGGAGTGTGTCCTTGGGATGGGGAGACGGGGACATCTTGGGACCATCTTCCACCCCTGACTTTTAACTGCATTTGTGCCAATTATTTCTTGAAATAATAACAACAGCTCAAATCCAACTTTGGGTAACCCCCAAAGTTGGATTTGGGGGTTACCCAAACCCAACCCCCTCTGAACCCCCAATATCATTTGCTTCCGGATAAATAGGATATACACGTTCGGCCTTGGTAAAGTCGGGGTGTGAACCCTTTTATTATTATTATTATTATTATTTAAGATGTATACGGAACCGCTCTGCAGGTATCGATTACAACAATTTTCCCCTAATAGAGGTTAAACTAATTGGATGATAGCTTGGGGGAACAAAACTGTAAACACGAACAAAGGAACTGAGGCTGTGTTCTTGTGCCAGCTTCGACTCTCCTGCCCAACACGTGGAAGACGTCGTGGAAGACGCCTCCATCCACAACTTTCAGGCCAGACGCGCACACGTGGGATCTGGACGTCGGGAAAGAGTTATATTTCATCGCATCAGGTCTCGTTGCTGGGGCCCGCTCACTTAGTTGTTAAATTCCCTCTTTCTTCATATATTTTTATATAGAAAACTGTTCGTGTTAATATCGAGGGTGCCGGGGTTCGATCACCGAGCAGAACAGAAACGGTTAGGTCAAGTTTTATTACACGTGATGCCTCTGTTCACTTAGCAATACGTTATGTACCCCGGAGTTTGGAAGCTGTTGTGGGTTGCATCCCAGGGAAGGGTAGTAGTTGGTTTAAAGGTGGGGGAGGGGGTGGGGAGGAACCTCTATAAAAATTAGTATAGCGTTTAGCTTTTGATGTCCTCGGGAAGAGCTTGGAAAAGGCTGGGGGAGGAAGACACAGACCCATGCTCAACATCAGCACTATAACGTAAACTTGCATTTCCGTTTTGCTTGCTTCATGCAGGTCGGCGTTCAATCCCCGACAGTCCACAAGTGGTTGGGCACCATTCCTTTCCCTCCCCCCGTCCCATCCCAAATCTTTATCCTGACCCCTTCCCAGTGCTATATAGTCGTAATGGCTTGGCGATTTCCCCTGATAATTACTTTACCTTCCGTTTTGCTGTGAATGTTTCTGTTGATCAAAATTCTTTACATAACAAAATGTGGAGTATTAAATGAACAAATCCACAAGGGCCGTGACGAGGATTCGAACTTGCGTCCAAGAGCATCCCAGACGCTGCCTTAATCGACTGAGCCATGTTCAAGATGCCCAGCCTAGAGGCCTACGAGGCCTACGGGGCCTCGTAGCCTGGTGGATAGCGCGCAGGACTCGTAATTCTGTGGCGCGGGTTCGATTCCCGCACGAGGCAGAAACAAATGGGCAAAGTTTCTTTCACCCTGAATGCCCCTGTTACCTAGCAGTAAATAGGTACCTGGGAGTTAGTCAGCTGTCACGGGCTGCTTCCTGGGGGTGGAGGCCTGGTCGAAGACCGGGCCGCGGGGACACTAAAGCCCCGAAATCATCTCAAGATAACCTCAAGAAGATAACGGCCTTTGTGGACTTGTTCATTTGATGCATCAAATGAACTGCTCGGCCGAGGAGACAGCACGCTGGACTTGTGATCCTGTGGTCCTGGGTTCGATCCCAGGCGCCGGCGAGAAACAACGGGCAGAGTTTCTTTCACCCTATGCCCCTGTTACCTAGCAGTAAAATAGGTACCTGTGTGTTAGTCAGCTGTCACGGGCTGCTTCCTGGGGGTGGAGGCCTGGTCGAGGACCGGGCCGCGGGGACACTAAAAAGCCCCGAAATCATCTCAAGATATAACCATCACGTTATTGTGATTTCTGTGTGTAATGTGGAGTATTATTCCGTTGATTCTGATGATTGTTCTCTCTGTCTCTCTCCCTCAGCGGTGGACTTGGCCGCGAGTTCGAACGTGCAGGATGCGTTCGTCATCGCCGTGGAGCAGCAGGCCAGGGAGCGCCTCGAGCGTCTCTCCGCTCTCAAGAAGATCAAGCCGGTGGACATGACCAAGCTCTCCTCTCAGGTGAGTTCCCGCAGGCGAGTGACCCAGTTCCTTCCCCCCTCCTGGGCGAGTGACCCAGTTCCTTCCCCCCTCCTGGGCGAGTGACCCAGAACCCCCTCCCGCTGGGCGAGTGACCCAGTTCCTTCCCCCCTCCCTCTGGGCGAGTGACCCAGAACCCCCTCCCGCTGGGCGAGTGACCCAGAACCCCCTCCCGCTGGGCGAGTGACCCAGTTCCTTCCCCCCTCCCTCTGGGCGAGTGACCCAGAACCCCCTCCTGCTGGGCGAGTGACCCAGTTCCCCCCCCCCCCTCCCCTTCCGTTGGGCGAGTGACCCATACAGCTATTAAATGTATAGTCAATTGCGTACTATGGTGGCTTGGAGGACAGTTGTCCCCTGAAGCCTCTTTCTTCTGACCATAGGATAGGAGATAGACTAAGATTTACATTTTATTTTTTTTTTTTTTGGGGGGAGGGAATCGAACAGAGGTTGTTAATGCATAGTTATCATCTGATACATAGTTATCAGGTCGCTGGCAGGAATAGTCTTGTTGATCAACTTGTCACCAGAACACACCCTGTCTCGACCCTGGCGACTAGGGTAGAATAGGCCTATATAGGCGACAGGCAGGCGTTTATGTGAATATTTGTGGTCATAGCAGTCGATCGTCCCGACCTCTGTCCCCCCCCCTTCCCCCCCCAGGCTTGGCCCTCCCCTCCCACGGCATGCCCCCCCTCTCCCACGGCTTGCCCCCCCTCTCCCACGACTTGCCCCCCCTCTCCCACGACTTGCCCCCCCCTCTCCCACGGCTTGCCCCCCCCCTCCCACGGCTTGCCCCCCCTCCCACGGCTTGGGGCCCCCCCCGGCTTGCCCCCCCCCCACCCACGGCTTGCCTCCCTCCCACGGCTTGCCCCCCTCCCACGGCTTGCCCCCCTCCCACGGCTTGGCCCCCTCCCACGGCTTGGCCCCCCCCACGGCTTGGCCCCCCCCCCACGGCTTGCCCCCCCACCCTTGGCCCCCCCCCCCCACGGCCCCCCCCCCCCCCCCCCCCCCCCCCCCCCCCCCCCCCCCCCCCCCACGGCTTGCGCCCCCCTCCCACACCCCAGACACAGACTGCAACACTGGCGGTGTCTAATTACCCAAATCTACTCAAAGCTTCCAAGCATTACGTAAGTAATGAATAACTAGCATATATTTACTCACTATAATGTTGGTGCTGAATGTAGAAGATGAAAAAAAAAACATATTTTAACTCTGAAATTCTATCATTTTATAACGAAATTAGGTCCATATAATTACCCGCAGCCACAACATTGTCGCTTGGATCGTCGACTTCCTGTGGCGTCACCTGCCACTTGGTTTCGTCTAATTTCGTTATAAAATATTTTTTTATAATAAAAAAAATACTTTTTTCATGTTCTATATTCAGCACCAACGTTATAGTGAGTATCTTGAGATGAGATGATTTCGGGGCTTTCTAGTGTTCCCGCGGCCCGGTCCTCGACCAGGCCTCCACCCCCAGGAAGCAGCCCGTGACAGCTGACTAACACCCAGGTACCTATTTTTACTGCTAGGTAACTGGGGCATAGGGTGAAAGAAATTCTGCCCATTGTTTCTCGCCGGCGTCTGGGATCGAACCCAAGACCACAGGATCACAAGTCCAGCGTGCTGTCCGCTCGGCCGACCGACTCCCAAAGTAGAGTAGAGATAACATACTTCTTCATCACTTACGTAATCCTTGGAAGCTTTGGGTAGATTTGGGTAATTAAACGGGCCGCAGGAATGGTCACAAACATGTTTACCTGTTGATGATTTCGAGAGTTGTTTTACTCCCACAGCGATGTTATAGTATTGCTTCGCGGGTCTCGAGTCTGTTGAAGTACGATTATTGAGAAAATAAAGTACATCTCAAAAGGCTAGAGTAGCTTCGGTTATTTTTACCCTTGTCTATATAAGGTCCTTCAAGGGGCTCACAAACCCATACAGTACACAATTATTAATTATATTCAATATTTCACATTTCAATGGTAATCTCATGACACTGTGAGATCTCATATTGATTATGCTGCCCCCCCCCCTGTCTTGTCTTGTTTGGTAAAGACAGACTGAACAAGTTGGAGAAGGTACACCATGAAGCCATGAGAATAATCCCAAGATTACTCTCGTGAACCAAGAAATACTATTACTGAGATAATGATATGATTGAACTTACAGAGTATTGGAGATAGAATTTGAGATAAATGAAGCTTTGGCTATTAGACTAATTTTTTTTATTATTATTTTCTACCAGAGACGTGGCCACACATCGCCTCTCATTAGACTAATGAGAGGCGAGGGGAACTAATGAATTAACACTTTCACTTCTAAAGGTGGGAAGAAATGAATAATGCTCATGAAAGTAAAATAAGATACTTAGGTTCTAATGCTACAAAGCATGATGTCCTTCGAGTGTGTGTTTCATTGTCAAAGAAACAACATTTAGCACCAACGTGGGAAGAATATAAAGGAGATGCAGTCATTTTCCCGCTGTGTTCCCAGTCTCTGAACTTTGCTGCGGTTTGCCAATTCATTGATAATTGAAATCGCCTTGTTCACACACCCTCCCCACATTTCAAGTCACTGAGAAGCAATATCGCAGTGATATTCGACTTGACAATCGACTTGAGAATGGTCCAGGACGGACCGAAACGTCTCGTCGTCCCTTCACCTTCTAGTGTGTGGTCTGGTCAAGCAATATCGCCTTCGTCAGACACTCAACATTTTGAAATTTCTTATATTGGCTCGGCATTGTACACCCCCCCCCCCCTTACTACCATCAAGGGGAATTCTATTCCTAACAATGTCTTTCAATTCTATTTTGTTAAACCATTTTTCCTGCGCTTCTCCGTCAACATTTTCCACCACACGGGATTGAACACTGCCATCGTTAGTGGATAGTTCATTTTCCTGAGACTTCCATCTGTGATACGCCATCTTCTTCCTGACTTTCTTTACCCCCACCCTCTGTTTCACTCCCCACCCTCTGTTTCACTCCCCACCCTCTGTTTCACTCCCCACCCTCTGTTTCACTCCCCACCCTCTGTTTCACTCCCCACCCTCTGTTTCACTCCCCACCCTCTGTTTCACTCCCCACCCTCTGTTTCACTCCCCACCCTCTGTTTCACTCCCCACCCTCTGTTTCACTCCGCACCCTCTGTTTCACTCCGCACCCTCTGTTTCACTCCGCACCCTCTGTTTCACTCCCCCACCCTCTGTTTCACTCCCCACCCTCTGTTTCACTCCCCACCCTCTGTTTCACTCCGCACCCTCTGTTTCACTCCGCACCCTCTGTTTCACTCCGCACCCTCTGTTTCACTCCGCACCCTCTGTTTCACTCCGCACCCTCTGTTTCACTCCGCACCCTCTGTTTCACTCCGCACCCTCTGTTTCACTCCGCACCCTCTGTTTCACTCCGCACCCTCTGTTTCACTCCGCACCCTCTGTTTCACTCCGCACCCTCTGTTTCACTCCGCACCCTCTGTTTCACTCCGCACCCTCTGTTTCACTCCGCACCCTCTGTTTCACTCCGCACCCTCTGTTTCACTCCGCACCCTCTGTTTCACTCCGCACCCTCTGTTTCACTCCGCACCCTCTGTTTCACTCCGCACCCTCTGTTTCACTCCGCACCCTCTGTTTCACTCCGCACCCTCTGTTTCACTCCGCACCCTCTGTTTCACTCCGCACCCTCTGTTTCACTCCGCACCCTCTGTTTCACTCCGCACCCTCTGTTTCACTCCGCACCCTCTGTTTCACTCCGCACCCTCTGTTTCACTCCGCACCCTCTGTTTCACTCCGCACCCTCTGTTTCACTCCGCACCCTCTGTTTCACTCCGCACCCTCTGTTTCACTCCGCACCCTCTGTTTCACTCCGCACCCTCTGTTTCACTCCGCACCCTCTGTTTCACTCCGCACCCTCTGTTTCACTCCGCACCCTCTGTTTCACTCCGCACCCTCTGTTTCACTCCGCACCCTCTGTTTCACTCCGCACCCTCTGTTTCACTCCGCACCCTCTGTTTCACTCCGCACCCTCTGTTTCACTCCGCACCCTCTGTTTCACTCCGCACCCTCTGTTTCACTCCGCACCCTCTGTTTCACTCCGCACCCTCTGTTTCACTCCGCACCCTCTGTTTCACTCCGCACCCTCTGTTTCACTCCGCACCCTCTGTTTCACTCCCCACCCTCTGTTTCACTCCCCACCCTCTGTTTGTCATAGCTAATTTGTCTAGAGCTTCAATCCTCTTGTCCAACTTGTGTGAGCGTTCCATTAATCCGCGCCTCTTGCTGTGTGGGGTCCTCTTGCTGTGTGGGGTCCTCTTGCTGTGTGGGGTCCTCTTGCTGTGTGGGGTCCTCTTGCTGTGTGGGGTCCTCTTGCATTCTTCCGGTAAGATTTTCCTGATGAGTTTGTATAGAACTTTGTAACCCGAGTGCCGTCGATCACAACACTTCTTCACTCGCTCATCACTGGCAGGAACACTCGACTCTCTGCGAAGAGGAAATGTATATGTTTATCTCAGAATGTTTGGTAACATGTTTATTGTTTGTGATGTGTGTGTATGTATGTATGTATGAACACGATGTACTGAACGGGGTGAGAATAGCTTGAGCTACCTCAACATGCCCCTGGGTGATGGGGATTTTTTTTAGCACCACGTAGCTAGCTTTTTGACACACTGTACTCCCCTTCATATAGTCTAGGGCAGCTAGTTCTTGACACACCCTGTACTCCCCTTCATATAGTCTAGGGCAGCTAGTTCTTGACACACCCTGTACTCCCCTTCATATAGTCTAGGGCAGCTAGTTCTTGACACACCCTGTACTCCCCTTCATATAGTCTAGGGTAGCTAGTTCTTGACACACCCTGTACTCCCCTTCATATAGTCTAGGGCAGCTAGTTCTTGACACACACTGTACTCCCCTTCACATAGTCTAGGGCAGCTAGTTCTTGACACACACTGTACTCCCCTTCATATAGTCTAGGGTAGCTA